AGTGAACATTTCTCTACGCTTACATGTTTTGTTTGTTATAGTAACCGTTCGTAAAGGCATGTGTTCTTTTCTTTACCCTTAAAATAATTTTAACAACCAGTGCCGTACTATCGTTCTGACGTATATTTATAGTCTCAGTGGACAGTGTTTTATGATTACGGAGGATGTGTTACATGTTTCTGTGATGTTAGATTAATTATGAAGATGTAACTACTAATAGGTAGGCCACATTACCCAACTTACCATGGTATTCTGGTATCTGACAGCATGAGCAGTGTCATGGAAGCCGTGCCTTTGACAGTTTGCATGGGCATTAAATTATTAGGCAAGATTTTGGGGATGAAATTTGGAAAACCTATGCTATGAACATATTTTTAAACGTGAAATTTATTTTAGGACATTTTATTAATTTAATTTTTTAGTAATTATAGTACTTAATAAACCAGTCATATGTTTGAAACTTAAATTTAAAAATGCATTATATTTGGTCAAATTTTTCTGTCACACACCTTTAATAAAGTAAATAATTTTCTATTATGGCATTTGTTAGTTTTGATGAGAAACTTATTTTTTAAATATGTTTTTTATGAAGGAGGGTTTTGTGCAATGTAGAAAGCATGTGCATAAATTGTTGTGTAATTATCAAAATTAGTTTGTATATTAAATGTGAATAGATATAATAACATGCACAGTTATTATTACTTGCACTTTGGTAGGCTTGCACTAAAGTTTTACTCTCATCTAAATGTAAAAGATGACAAAAATTAAGGAAGACTCCCCATAGTCAGTTGGCCACCAGCTGAAATGAGGCTTAGTTTAGATTTTCGTTCCCACATTTTCCAGTATACCTTAAACCTTTTCTATTGCATAAAGGAGGTATCTGTACACAATTTTCATTGGGTAGTAAGCTTGCAAGTGTGTGCAGGAATTTTCAGGGGGTCAAAATTGCATAAATTGAAGGGAAAATGAATAATTTGACAAAATTGGCTGCAACATTTCTATCAAGAAACGTCCCTTTCCCAGAGCAGGCCACAGCGCTAGGTTTATCGAGTGGTATGCCTCTTGCAAGGGACGCGACTCTTCCCATTAATTACTTGCGCCCAGTGCTACTGTCACGGCGGAACTGTTTACGTATTTGTTTACTGACGAAGGTCGGCTTGGTGTTATATTAACATAACAGATCGCTTCCTATAACTGCCAGGATTAATGAGGGGGGAAACCTCCCAATGTGTATTGACTTTTCTTGCGGTTAACTAATAAAATTCATTGTGTGTGTAGTCAGCGTCTGTGACGTTAGAGACCCACTCACGGTACATTAAGTGACATAGAATGGCGATAACAATGGCTTATCGGGTCATGATGACCCGTGATGGAAGATTTTGGTGTGCTGTGTCTAAATTTAACAAGCATGTCCAAACACCTCGGCTGGCGTACCGCCAAATGAGGTTAAGGAATATGTTCGATAAGTAATGCACGAGTAACAGCTAGGTCACAGAAATTGTCACCCAAAAGAACCCGTGAATTTAAAAAAAAAATAATTCTCGAATCATAAGATTATTCTTACAAATACAATTTATGTAAAATGTCTAACAACTCAAGGTCAAGTACTGGCAAGGGAATGAGTTGTCATTAGAAATAGATTTCTACATGCGATATATTATGATATAAACCTGGGAGCAATCTCCATTTCTGTATTAGATATTTCTTATTTTGTAATTGTGCCCATATCTGGACGTGTTTGTGTTTGATCGGCGTTTTAAACATCATTTACGTTAATGCGTGTTAAATGGCACGGACTTTGCAGCATGTGACACGCCTACATATCTCACATGACCGTACTTACCAGTATATTTCGGTCGATTACGTCATGTGAGATAACAAACATAATAATTTTCATTTTCATTGACGCGTTTAGGACAGGTAAGTTCAGAGACATATATATATACGTCGTTGCAATGATACACAGTTAGACCTACATATGAACATCTTGTATGGTAGCACCAGGATGTGTTCATATGTCACATAATATATATATGGTGGAGCACTGTAAACTGTGTTTGTATATAGGTCATGCTAAAGCTACACACATGAATATTATAATATATGTATTATATTGTAAGCCTGAATGTGTTGCGTAACGCGGTGCCAGTGGACGTCAGTATATTTCGTAACCAAGGTTACAGAATCCGTTTTGTTATGTTTCGGTTATGTTTATTAGTTACTTAGATAAATCGCAGAGACCAATGAAGAACGAGACGTGGTGTATTTCACGATGAACCGTTGTTCTAGCATGGCATCATTTTTGGAGATTCGAACATACGCTCGAGAGCTTGATGACGATTGGACGATGCTATGTTTGAGTAGTGTGTAGAGATGGTCATGAATATGCATGAGGGCGTCTGTTTTTAGATACGGACTCCTGTGATTTATTCTTGAAATCAAATATGTATTAAGCTGTGAACTGATTTGCATGCAGACGGACAAAATGTTATAGGTCGCTTAGTATTCATACGAATATTGAATCATAAATAGAATTTAAATAAAAGTAGATTCTATCAGTGTTCGAAATACCTGCCTGCCCGACCGTCCGAGACGGGTTGATTTCAACTCGGGCTGCCAGATTTTCAAATCCCCCTGCCCGACGGTCGGGTTATATTTCATATGTGAAAATATTCTAAATATTTCCCGATGATAAGCATTAATTCACATGTAAAGATGAATGATAAAATGTAACCAAAAAGAAACCCCGTTAGCTTATCCTGAGAAACATATGATTATAGTGGGCAGGCAGGTTTTGGTCAGGGCTGGCAAGTTTTTCAGCTAGCCAGTCCTGTGGTCTGGCTGAATTTTTTGGGAGTTTCATACCCTGATTCTATGTCAATTGCATGATTTATCAGAGACCATGGTCTCTGAATTTATTGACGGAGTTGAAGCCGGAAGTTGAAACATCGGCATACCACACCAAGCTCCTTTCCAGCGCGACACTCTCGGTAGAGTGCTCCGCGAACGTGCTTAACGCTGTGAGAAGCTTGGATACGACACGACACAGGCCAAAACCATAGAGTCAGTTCTTCGAATATCGTACACTTTTGGTCGCCGGTCTCAACCACCAAGCTTTGTATGCAGATACTGTGTCATGGGGCATGCCAGACGAAAGGTTATCCAATCATCTTGCCACCCCATTAAACCGGTTGTACATTCCGATTTCCGTTTTGACCACACGTTCAGTCAAAGGAGGCTAATAACGATCACTTAAATTCGTACAGTGTAACTGTAATATCGTACGCAATTTCTTCTAATATCGTACATGTATTTTAATTCCGTACAGCACCTGAAAGGTACTCCCGTAGCTGTTATTTCTTATGAAAATTTGTATATATTGGTTGAATCACAATTCGAATTATCGCACAAAAGGAAATGCTTAGGTTCAAAAACTATATTAATATGTAGATCTATATCCCATTATTAATAATCATTAGTAGAATTTATTAATTTATTAATAAACTTAATTTATTAATAAACTCCAGGGCCTGCTTAGAGTACTGGCGTCTTTTTCCCATCTAACTAACTTTATAAATTTTAATACTGCCCCGTTTGAATCAAAACAGAACGAACAAGTTGGAGCATTGATGAAGTCCATTTTTTTCGAAATATTCGAGAACACATCTTGCGAAAAATGTGGCAGACACGGGGTCGTTTATTTTTTTCCGATATGCCATGCAGAACACGACAAACAACGTTTGCCACTGCAGACCCTCATTTGGGATGATCTAAGGATTTCTGTAGCAAACCAATTATTATTTCAACTTCATTTTCAAAATAAACATCATCACACAGTTAGGGTGTTTATAGTTGAACGTGCGACCGCGATCACTATTTCACGTCCGCTTCCAAATATTTCACGGCGCTGAACTGATTTTGAAAGTGCCATTTTCTGTAAAGTTGACAGAAAACGTATAAACAGATGAATAATTGTACTTAAGACAGACATTTCTTTGTATTGGGTTAAAACGTATGCCTAATGTTTTATTAGCTACAGTATGAATACTACAGTTGTACCTCGCTGATACCGATTGTTTTACCGATTTTGCTCATCAGTTATCAATACTTACACAGTCAACACTTATTAGATAGAGTTTTGGTGTTGACTAGAAATCTTCTACATGTTTCTTTAGTCGTTAGGCCATCTATATTATTTTATGTGTTTGTCATCTCCAACCTCAACCAACAAGGAAGCGGGCGGGCGAAAAAAAAAAAAAATGCTTTTCACTAATTTTGGACGTATTTCGAGGTGTTTTTTTTCCGGAAACAACTTTTTAATACACGTACTTGAAGAAAGATCTAGGAATTTTATGAATGTGCAATGATGGTGGTACTTTTGTTAATACGTCGGGGAAAAATTAATACAGACAGCCTGACAATGTTTGTAGTATCTTTTTGTAATATATCTTAAAACATGTACAGTTACTAGGTGTATAGTCTTTGTGTTGTCGTTTTACTTTAAGGCTGCGTAGTAATGTGGCACTGGACGCGTGATAAGAGATAAACAATGTTTTCGGATAGATCTAAATGAAAACAGGGATAAGGTGTGCTGATGTCTGTTACTTAATATTTCATATAAATAAGCTTATGACAGTGAGCGACTACTTCAAAATGGACTTCAACAATGACCATACACTAAGGTGACAATATATATTCTTTTTGTCATTTTAATTTGTTTATCAATGCTTATTCAAGTGTTTCATAAGAGGGTATATCAAATAGAAAATTGAAAATTTCACTGTACGAAATTAGAAGCATAGCAAAATATTATAATAATTTGGGCATCAAATATCGTACGTCCCACATTTTGTTAATTTTGAAAATAACTTTTATGAAACCTATTAATAATTTTCAATATGAAATGTTTATGGCAGCTGATATGCATTATTTCGTGTTTCCGTACCGTTCGTGCTTTTTAAATTTACCGCAATGACCTGTCACATGTAGAGTAGACTGGTTCCCGTTCGTTCCTGCGACAGACAAGTGCAGCGACACCAAGCGGAGGATCCGGGAACCAGTCTACATGTGGAGGCACTCTCCTACCCAGACCTGACTCTAGTCTGTTAATGTTTCAAAGATAAACACGATATGATTTGTCTTTGGTAAGTACACCAATATAATAATATGTTTTATTCATTCTAGCCTAAATATTTAAGAAATGCTATCATATTTCATGATTCATTATCCGCGTTTTAGCCGTTACAGTTCTGTCTGTCACAGGCAGATATGGTCTTCCCAGCAGAGAAGCAGCCAATCAGAGGACAATAAGAAACCCGTGTTGTTGTTTTTTTAATGTTTGGATCCCGGCCGTTATTTCTAAGGTCTCTCCGCGGATGTTCGGGCGTTATCGCAAGATGTGTCAACTTCCGCCGGCAGAGGGCGCGGTTTTCCATATGGCGTGGAAGACTGATTTTAGTAGATGTTGTGAACGCTTAATGCATACACAACTTGAAATGGTGACGCTTATCCGTTAACATCATATTATGCATAATTAAAAAAATTACATAGAGATCTAGATATAGTGGCCTTTTGGAGAATTCAGGTAAACAAACAGCTAGGTGATAACAAACTTTGTTAATTAAAATGTGAAAGTGGAGATAAATGACTTGACTAATGATTTTCCATAAAAATTGTATTTTCGGTTTTGCAAGGCATTGTTTTATAGGCAGAAATAAAGATTACAAGATCTATGGGCGGCCATTCGGTCAAAAAATACAAAGTTGGAAAAAAGTTCGCATTAGGGTCAAATATTAGAAATAAAGAACAAAATGACACTAATAAAGGTAAAAATACAAAACAAACAGACGCCGGTTAAACAAATACAGAAATAAAGGTCAAAAGTATGCAATATTAATAGTCAAATGTCAAAACGTCATTAGAAAAGAAAGAACATGTACTGTACGCACCAATGTCAGTGAGCACGAAAGGGCATTTATAATAAAGAACATCAGTGAGCACGAAAGGACATTGACAATAAAGAACGCCACATGGCGCTGCAATTTGCAAATCATTCAGAGTTTAATCGGCTTGTTCTGCCGTGTATATGATATAACTGCATGCTGAGGTGCACAATGTATCATTCGTCATGCACTCACCGTCTGACGTCATATATATACATGTATGTATAATGCATAATGTACACATTGTATATATACATGTTGCATTATAGCATCGTCACCAGTCAAGGGCCTTTTAAAAAATACAGTATACTGCGTAATCTGACATCCGCCTTATTAGTACATGAATTTAGTATACAACCTTCAATAAACACTCATTTAATGCTAAACTAGGATTAATCTACAATGATCCAATAATTGTTCATGCTTGGTGCAACAAGAGGGTGCTATGAAGCCGATTTTTTGTTTCAGACGCACATTTTCATAACATCTGACAAGTGAACATTGTGCGAGAATTTGTTTTATTTAACAGCTTTTCGGAAACTGTGTGTGAACAAAATGCTGCCTAATACCTGAATGTCAAAAATATATATCAAATGGATTTATATGCATGTGTATCCTCGTGTTGCACCAAGCATGAGTGAGTGGGTTGAGTTTAACCTGGCTTTTAACAGTATTCTAGTTATATCACGGCATGTTAGCTTAATGTGGGAGGTAAGCCCGAAGTGATGCAGGTCTCCGATGTTTACCACTTCGGTGAAACCCACAAGCACGGGTATGGTGCTGACAAACCTTGAAACATAATCAGGGCGAACCGGGATTCAAACCCACAATCATAGGTTTCTGGCGTTCCCAAGGGATGCAACTCTGCACAGCGAATCACAGCGCCTTAGACGACTGGGTCACCCATGCCCCCGCACCAAGCATAAACAGTTATTGGATCATTCTAGATTAATCCTTTTTTAGCTTTAAATGAGTGTTTATTGAAGTTGGAATACAAAATACATGTACTAATCAGTGGGGCTAGTACGATTCACTCGCGTATTCGATGAATCGAACAGTATCCCTTCATGAATTGAATTCGTTATTCGTGGTCACAAGAATCAAATATTTACAGAAAAAAAGAAAGAGTGTTTTTTAAAAACATCCAAAAGAGCTTATTATATGCACACTAAGATTTCTTCAAAGACTCTCTTATATCTTTAATTTGACAGTAATGCAAGAAAGAGTCAGGAATCTATCAAACTATGGAAAGATCAACATTGGTCAATCAGACAATGAATTTCTAGATACATCAAAATCAACTCTCAGTATGTAAGTAGCTAACATCAATCAACATATATCTGGCATATATTTAAACACAAAGTCAGGTTCATTTGTGGTTATTTTTGCCAAATGCTATATGCTTTTTTCAGTCATTGACTATAGTGAGTCATGTTTTCATTGACTATTTAATAATTATGTTAAGCCATGTATACTGCAGTCAGGCCATAAACAATTCCAGGTGATAAGATTCTGTAAGTGCTTTGAAGCCTGATGAAAGCAATAACTCTCGGTAATTTTGTCTCAATACTGTCAGACATCCATGTAGATGAAAAACAAGACCTGGGTCTTGGACATGGATTAGCAATCAGCAATATGAGGCAGTCCAAAGAAATAATGATTACAAGACTTTTTGGAAGTTGGACAGTATAGATTCAAGATAAAGCAGATAGAAAGAGATTTGCCCTTTTAGTAGTTTTACCATGCTCTTAAATATCTTCTCTGATAATGCTGATACTGCTTGACTAAGGAAGCTGAAATTATGGTGAAAGTGTTTGGATTGGGTACATAAGCAAACATACAAAGTAAACCCGATCCCAGAAACTTACTGAAAATATTAGGATTATCTGATGCCACATCACATGTTCATGTTTCTTTGGCATCGTGTATCATGGTAGGAGGTAGATAAACCTGGTGTGTTTTCAATGTAGAGGTTTCACTTTTTGATTTGATACCTGTAAATTTTGCAAATTTGAAACCTCACACTATCTTCATTTGAAACCTCTACATTGAAATTGAACACTAGGTTTTTCTCCTAAATATGCTTTCAAACAAATAAACAGGAAAAATGCATGACAAATTATAAATCTATTAACACGCTCAATCGGCAGTATGATTAAAAAACTGAACCTTTGAAAAGGTTAGTGAGTGAGTGAGTTGGGTTGCACAGCGAATCGTGGCGGATGGGAATTAATTTCTAAATTACAACTGCTCATAATCTTACTGATGGTAAGATAACATCAAGAGCTTGTCATGTTTGTAGATGATTCAAAATGACTCTTCTATTTGGCACATTTAAATTCCAAAGGGAACACCAACACATTATAACGAGTGCCTTGTGTCACACTTAAAAAGAAAAACAATATCTATCTCTGCCCTTGTTTGATCTTTCTGATCTCATGTTATATTAAGAAAAATCCCTCGTCGCGAATAGCTGCAAGATCCTGATGTGGCGTAGAACAATAAATACTCACACACTCACAGAAAAAAACAGGTTAGCTCCAGATCTTTGAAGCTCAGTTTTGTAAGATAGTTATTAATTTGTTTACAGGTATTTTGCTTCTATTCCCTTTCACAAATGGCAACATGGTACGGCTGGATAATGAAAAGATATACAAGGAAGACATAAACCTCTTGGAATCAAAGGAAATAGATGTGTTCATCACACCTGGTTTCATTCTTTATGTGTTGTGGTGCATATTGTGTCCACATTCCACTATAACCCTCACTGAAGCTTCCGATTGCCCTGCTGTAGATGGTAGCCTCATTGATGCTGATGAGGAAATTATTGTCCCGGATCCAATAGTCCAAAACAAGGCGAGATCACCTAGAAAGAAAAGGTTTCATTCAAGACACATGAAAAGAGGGTGTTCTGACAGAAAAAGGGAATACAAGCCACCACAGTACCCTACAAAAAGAGTACAGGTCGACAGGCTTACCAGAAGGGATTCTGGTTTCATATTTTTCAGCAAAGATACTTCAGATCAAAGAAGTGAACTAAGTGAACGAATTGACGAGTTGGATCACGTGTGTCTGCGTGATATACATTTCTAACACCTTTGAAAGTTATCCTTCTGTGTATTTTTATATATAAGTGTGTTTGTTAATCATGGCTTCAGCAGTGTCACTACCTAACACCTACTTTCAGCGTCTTAATAATGCACCTTCATTTTCCCCAGGTGAAAACCTGAAATATGAAGCTGTGAGGCTTCAGACATTTAGCAGTTGGACAATGTATGAAAATGCTAGACCTATTCAGTTAGCAAAGGCAGGCTTCAGTTATACAGGTATTGATGATATTGTCAAGTGTTATTCCTGTGATATCACAAAAGGTGGCTGGAATCGAAACATGATCCCAATGCTTGTCCACCAAGAACTCTCCCCAACATGCATTTTCTGTCTTGGCAGCGACAATATGAATATCCCAATATATGTCCCCGAAAGTGCTGAATATCAGCAAATTCAAGAGAACCTGCATCGCCAATATTGTGGCCCTGATGCATCGCCATACATACCGTCGGCTCTTAGCAATCGACCTCAAGACAGTCCAGACTATTCCAGCGCCACCTTCAGGCAGAATCAGGCAACATCAGCTCAGACAAACTTCCCCGTTGTGGCTACAGACTCTGGGGCAGCAGAAACAAGTCGCCAGGCGATTGGCACGGCCGGAGGACTCGGACTTGGACATGATTCAGAAGCTACCCCAACCAGGGAGGAATTTGCACCTATGAAGCAGGAGGCCAACCGATTCTCCAGCTTTGATGCCAACTGGCCAAGACAGAACACTCCAGACCCCAGAGATCTGTCCCGAGCTGGATTCTACTTTACTGGGACTGTTGATCGCGTTCAATGCGTGTTCTGTAGAGGAATACTTCGCAACTGGGACGAAGACGATGTCCCTATGGAAGAACATCGGAGACATTTTCCTATGTGCCCTTATGTCATGGGATTGGATGTAGGAAATGTCCCGGACCCAGCCGCTATCATATCTGCAAACAGAACATCTGAGTTCATGAACGTCACCCAGCCAGCTGCTGTGGTCAGTGATGCCAGCCTGGGGATTGTTACTGATCGGCCCAGACACCCACAGTATGCAGTGGAAGCTTCCCGAGTCAGCTCCTTCAGAAACTGGCCCAGTGGAAAGGAACAGACACCTCAGATGCTGGCCAAGGCTGGCTTCTTTTATGCTGGTAAGTATTTTGCTTCTACTTTATGGTAACTGCAGCTATTTTTAATCAATGGAAAGTGTGTCAGGACATGACATCACTTTATTTCAGAGACATCATATTTGATAAGCCTGCAATGTACCTCAGTGAAATGTGCAAATATGCCTGTGGTCATAAGACCCGTGAAGATCTGGGGTAGAATAAGTCTAAAGCAACCCATGCTTGCTGTAAAAGGCGACCATGCTTGTTGTAAGAGGCGACTAACGGGATCTGGCGGTCAGGCTCGTTGACTTAGTTGAAACATGTCATCGACCCTAATTGCGTGGATCGATGCTCATGATATTAATCACTGGATTATCTGGTCCAGACTGGATTATTTACAGACCAATGTCATACAGCTGAAAAATTGCTGAGTGCAGCGTTAAACAACAAACCAACCAACCAATCTTATGAAACCACCTCTGTAGTGTAGTGGAAAGAGCATCTGCCTGGCGAGAGGAAGGTCTTTTGTTTGATCACCTGACCTCTTCATACCAAATGATGGGTCTTGTTGTTACCCTGCCTGGCACTCATCCTTAAGGGGATAAAACAAGGACTGGGATCGGTATACTGTGTCTATCAAGGTATCCATGTTAAACTGTGGAATGGTATCTCATTGGGATAGAACTGTAATACTGGCTGAACTCCAGACTAGTACAAGCAGCCACGCACGCACGCACGCACGCACACATTTGTGAAATGGTCTTGGTTTATGACCTGTAGAAGTTTGAAGAATGGCCATGCAACGTAACATCAAATTGTATAAAACCCATCGGTTATTTTTTAGGTTTATGGTTGCAGCCAGCACTTTGATAACACCTAGTTCTTAATGTTTTAAGAAAAGTGACAGTAACTGACAAAATGCACGTCTCTTTTGTATTTTTAAATCAAAATGAGGTAACATTCCTCTGAAACAGTAAACAGAGCAACTATTGCATAATTTAGATTGAAGTTTGTGTCAGTTATAATATAATGGTGGTTCGTGCTCTCTTTAAGTTCCATTAATAATAAAGGCTTTTTTTCTTTCAATGACACAGGTTTTGGAGATAGCGTGAAATGTTTCTACTGTGATGGTGGTTTGCGCACATGGGAACGTGGTGATGATCCATGGTCTGAACATGCGAGATGGTTTCCCCGTTGCCCGTATGTTCGTCAAGTCAAGGGAGACAACTTCATCCAGACTGCCCTTGGAGGACGAGAGGTAGCTTGTTATAGTACAACCTGAGCAAGCCTTTTGATAGACAATCACTAATGTTCTGTTTTAGAATGTGTCCTCTTGGATTTATATCAACAAATAATAGCTCAGTTTATGCAGATCTTTATTGATAATTACCTGTAATTAAGTTTGACTTCCTTGGATCCACCGTGAATATGCTGTGTCAGAGCTCCAGATAAGCTGCGTATCTGTGTAAAATACGCATCAGAAATGCAGAAATACGCAGTAAAATAAAATCCAAGCGTATCAAATACGCAACAGACATTACAGATACGCTACAAAAAAACTTGTGCGTATCATCAACATATTGTGAAGTAACCCTGCATATTCGATTAGTAAATCAGCAACTTATTTTGAAATAATAAATGGGCATTTCCTCAACCTTGCCAAACTCCACGATGACAGTTGTATCGTGATCATTTTCCATCACACTTACTTGTGGAAGTATCGTGGTATTTTTGAGTCCTATAAAGCTCTCGAACCCACACCACACCAGTTTGCAGGAACTAGATGAATAGTGTTTATAAATATTTAACTTAAATATCCACATGTGTAAAAACTTGTGGGTAACAGAAATTTGAATACCCAAATAGAATTACTGATACCCAATGATTCTAAAATGCATGGGTAAAATACCCACAACACCAAAAGCTTATCTGGAGCTCTGTGTGTGTTATCTGAATGTTTCATCCATCTGTAATACAGGTTCAATGTGGAAACTAGGATTGTCTTACCTACTGGCTGTGTACTTGAGGTCTTCAGGAACTAGAATGAGCTCGAAAGCTCGAAAGAATACATCAGGCATGTTAGGTTGCTGTGTGCTTGGACCACTTCTCAATAATACTTTTTTATGATTCATTTCCCTGTATTAATCCAATGAATATATCCATTAGCCTGCAACGTCTGCATCTGGCAACAGCACGTCGTCCACGTCGGAAAAATCACCTAATGGTATGTACATTTATATACAAGCTCAGTAACAGTAGTGACAACTGCAACTGTTGTAGTTTTACATCTCTGCCTAAAGTGTTTAGTTGCCATTACCAGCCATATGGCCCCGATCTTACCAGCCATATGGCCCCGATCTTACCAGCCATATGGCCCCGATCTTATCAGCCACGGGGGGCACGGGTGGCCCAGTCATCTAAGGCGCTGCGATTCGCTGTGCAGAGTTGCGGCCCTTGGGCACGCCAGAAACCTATGATTGTGGGTTCGAATCCCGGTTCACCCCGATTAGGTGTCTAGGTTTGTCAGCACCATACCTGTGCTCGTGGGTTTCACCGAAGTGGTAAACGTCTTAGACCTGCATCATTTCGAGCTTTCCTCCCACATTATGCTGACAAGCCGTGATATGACTGGAATACTGTTAAAAGTGGCATTAAGCCCAACTCACTCACTCACTTATCAGCCATATGGCCCCGATCTCACCAGCCATATGGCCCCAATCTCACCAGCCATATGGCCCCGATCTCACCAGCCATATGGCCCCGATCTCACCAGCCATATGGCCCCGATCTCACCAGCCATATGGCCCCGATCTTACCAGCCATATGGCCCCGATCTCACCAGCCATATGGCCCCGATCTCACCAGCCATATGGCCCCGATCTCACCAGCCATATGGCCCCGATCTCACCAGCCATATGGCCCAAATCTCACCAGCCATATGGCCCCGATCTTACCAGCCATATGGCCCCGATCTCACCAGCCATATGGCCCTGATCTCACCAGCCATATGGCCCTGATCTTACCAGCCATATGGCCCTGATCTCACCAGCCATATGGCCCTGATCTTACCAGCCATATGGCCCCGATCTCACCAGCCATATGGCCCCGATCTCACCAGCCATATGGCCCCGATCTCACCAGCCATAGGGCCCTGATCTCACCAGCCATGTGGCCCCGATCTCACCAGCCATATGGCCCCGATCTCACCAGCCATATGGCCCCGATCTTACCAGCCATATGGCCCCGATCTCACCAGCCATATGGCCCTGATCTTACCAGCCATATGGCCCCGATCTCACCAGCCATATGGCCCCGATCTCACCAGCCATATGGCCCCGATCTTACCAGCCATATGGCCCTGATCTTACCAGCCATATGGCCCCGATCTCACCAGCCATATGGCCCTGATCTTACCAGCCAGCCATATGGCCCTGATCTTACCAGCCCTATGGCCCTGATCTTACCAGCCATATGGCCCCGATCTCACCAGCCATATGGCCCTGATCTCACCAGCCATATGGCCCTGATCTCACCAGCCATATGGCCCTGATCTTGTTGGGGTGCATTGCCTGTTGTTTGTCTGGTTATCCATCCATCCTTATTTTTTTCATTTTCATCATCCCATCTGAAATTAGGAGGCCTATGGAAATGAAACTAAATGTATGAATGATCCCAACTAGGGTGCCTCTACACAGACTTCCAATCTGATTTTTAACATGGCTGCGATGATGGCCATATAAAAAAAATGTCATTTTTGGTCAAAACTGTGTTATGTATGGATGTATCATTATGGAAATTGATATATTATCAGGCAAATATGTTATTTTTTAATAACATATGTTTGTTGAGATGTTTTAATTTGTGATCCATTTATGACCTGTTTTACCAGTGTTACTGCAATTTCAACATTTCCTCTGAAACTACAAAGCCAATGGTCTAAGCTATAGTGCGCTAGAAAGTGCTAACAGAATTCTGATCCAATTTTAAACATGCCTGCCAAAGTAGCCATCTTTTGAAAATGTATTTAAATTTGGTATTGGTGTAGTTGGTAGTGGTACATGTATGTTCAATATGTGGCAGTATTATAATTTTGATCTGGATTCCATCTTTTTTTCCCACATAATAGTTATAATAATAGGCTATTTATATTGCGCATATATCCACACCACTCAGGGGCATGCTCAATGTACGATTATTACCCTGGTCAGTGGATCTATGTGCACTCAAGAAATATTCTCAGCTCCCTGGGGAGTTTACAACCCAAGCTGCCTGTTAGGTGCTAAAGGATTAACAACCACTTTGCCATCTCATCCTACCGGGCACCCATTTACTGTTGGGTTGACAGAGGCCCATATTCGAACAATGTCGCTTGCCCAGGAGACGCCACATGTGTTACATGTGCTTCAGTGTGGGGCAAGGACCAACGCCCTAGAAATTCTCAGGAACCAAGCTGCCGAAAGGCGGTCACCCATCCAAAGACACTCCGCGACGAATGTTGCTTTACTTCACCTGATTTGTGACCTGTGTTCTGTGCACAGGACCCTTCTTCCGCCTGGGTGTCACCAAAATGAAAATTACTGTCATGGGTCCCAAAGACCAAAGTAGACCCCAGTGCACACTACCCTGCCACCATGTTTAAATCAAATTACCTGCTTACATTGGAGCAAAGGTGAAAAAAGGGTTTTTGCTTATGGTTAGGATGGAAACTAAACTTGACTTCGAAAAGTAACTTTTTTGCTAGTGACATTAGGAGAGGCTGCGGATAAATGGTCCAGGCAAAGTTCCACAATCCTACACCAGTTTTTGCCAGTGTGACATGTTTGTCAGTTACCCCTTGGCTGGTCAAAACCAAAAGAGCTATTTCTTCAACCGTTGAGTCTAGGGCTTTATAGAGGGGTCTGTTTCTTTTGACGGACTACTTAAAAGGTACACAAGCCTTGGACCCCAACACTGACCTTTGCATGCTTCAACCAAGTCAGTTGGCCTGACCACCCAATCCCGTTAGTCGCCTCTTACGAATTGCATAGTCGCCTTTAACAGCAAGCATGGGTTACTGAAGACCTATTGTGCCCTGGATCTTCAGGGGTCCCTTTGCAGTTGAAAGGTCTTAAATTTGCACTTTTACCTTGTTATAACCACTGGGAACAAGGTTTAGACTTGGTGTGAATGTAATGACCATGAAAACATCAAGACATCACTTTCTGCATGTAACATCGTTGACCTTAACAATGTTACAAACAAAACCACAGAATCTTTTGCACAAGTTTTTCTTCAACGCACTATTGATTTTTGTTGAAGTGTTACAAAACTTCATAAGTCAGGTGAGGAGCTACAGAGCTTTGTGGCTCTATTTTCTTGAAGTAACATGCAAAGTTAATTCATTTGTAAGCTTCATAAAAAATGTATGTTTTCCAAGGTGCATCCAACAAGAAAGCTGTGCGGACCCTAGACCCGCGAGAGTTGTCTGCCCGGATGGACAGCCCCATGGTACAGACAGTGCTGAAGATGGACATCCCCCGAGACCGGGTGGCCAGAGCAATACAGAACCGACTACAGGAGACAGGTACAGACAATGGCTGAAACACACACTGTAATATACTCCAGTACTGTCTCCGCAGTGGCTGTCAGCATTAATATCCATATTTACTTCCTGATAATGGAATGTGATTATTAATAAGGAAGAGAATATATGGATGTCAACTTATTTATTACAATGAGTTCACCTGATGAAGTTGTAAGCATATACTCCGAAACGTTTTGTTCCTCATAATAAAGAAGTTGACATCCATGTATTCTCTTCCTTATGACTTCTAATTCCTTTCAAAGAGGTGATTATTAATGTCCATCAAAAGCTGATATGTAACTCATTTCTGGTGTCCCCCGCCCTGATATTGCTGGAATATTGCTAAACACTCACTCACTCACTCACTCACTCACTCACTCACTCACTCACTCACTCACTCACTCACTCACTCACTCACTCACTCACTCACACTCACTCACTCACTCACTCACTCACTCACTCACTCACTCACTCCACCCACATGAAGGTCTTTGAGGAAGATCATTTATATAATGTACTCCTCATATGAAGCTATAGAACACAGTCTTTTCTTTAGACTTTAATTAATCTGTCATGCCATGCCATATCAATTATAGCCATACAAAATAAATTGTTATCCCTGATACTAAGTTGTGATCTCAACTGCTGCATTTCAAAGATGTGACTTCTGTGATGCAGGATAATCTGGCTGTGAATTCATGTTTGGCCACTGAGTCACTGAGACACTTAGGGCTTTCCTCACGCATGATGCTGACGCCTCATGATATAACTGAAATTATGTTCAAAGTGACATTAATCTCAAAGCCCTCACTCAAAGATATGGATATTGACAGTAAGAATTTAGGTATTGTATTCAGGATATTTATCACCGATTTCATGACTGATATTGCCTGGTCTCACTTCTAGATAGAAGAGCATTCTTCACAAATTAACACAACTCAAGAAAGATGTCCTACGGAGCATCATTCTTTCAACACGCAGTTAGTGAGAATATAGCATGCTCTCTAAACTTTGATCTTCACTCACAGGTGATGACTTTGCCTCCCTCGAAGCACTGATGGAGGCCATCTTCCATCTTCCTGATGGGGAGCAATCTGCTCCTGAAACACCCAAAGTAGTTGTCGGGCCTTCCAGCCAGAATGTCCCTGCTGCCATTGGAGATGACATAGGTCAGTGATGCATGCCGGGTACTAACATTCATTTGATTGTCATCATGTTTGTTTTATGGAATGTTTTCATGAAGAAAAGGTCAAATCTATATCAATCCAGGTTTAAGGTTTTGGATTTGCATTGGTTAGTTTTTGAAACTATGCAGTGCTTGTACATCAGGGATATATCATGTAAATCTCCTTTTTGCCCTTGAGAAACCTATTTGTCAAGGTCATCAAGGTCATAGCCTGAAAGCAAGATTGTTCATTGTATAAGGATTTATTGACGGTCAGTGAAACTTAAGAGAATCAAGATTAGAAATATTCTTCACTCTCTTCTGTAAAAGGTAAAGGTCATAGTGACGGTCATGCTTAGAGTATGTTTGCCATTTTCACCATGTTCACTAAAATACCTTTTTTTGCCTTTATTTTATATTTTTATAAAAGTCTTATGCCTGAAGTGCTTAATTTGTTGCAATACCTGTGTAGTGCATTAATAACAAGCATGACATCAGTGGAAGGTCACAGTGACCTACTTTTAATGAATAACATGCTATATAACTGTTGAATTCTACCTAGGGACATCATATTTAGCTTATATGCTCGATAGGTTTGGGGAATATTCAATACTTGTGACTCTAATTAGAGGTGAATTTCACTCTTAGTCTTAACTCAAAATTGTTTTGCTTTCATGATGATATTATTGCCGTAATATGCACCCAGAGAGCTTAGAACATTGAAAATAATTCAACTTGTTGTCAGAGATTGTGCGGTTGTAAAAAGTTAGTCAACGAAACCAAATGTTTTCAATAAAAGTTACCATGCAATTATATTCCCCTTCTTCACTGCAGTTTTCTATCAATAATGTGCTTCTAAAGATTACTTATGGTGAATACGGTATACCATCTTTATGGGGTTAGGGTTTGAACATATTTATTTATTAATATTAAATATATTTCATAAACTGGAAGTGATATCATTCAACTCGAAGTGGTTGTAACTTTCTATTTAAGGTAACTGTACTTCATTAATTCATTGTATTTCCCAAACATTAGCCGTGATATAACTGGAATACTGTTAAAAGCGTCATGAAACCCAACTCACTCACACTTACCCAAACATTATTTTGTCCTCATTATGTCAGCTAGAGGTCAGATATGTTAGATGTTGGAGGCATGTATTTCACCAAAGCAAAAGTAATGGTATCACACTGGAAATGCATTGTGGCATGTTAGGATTTCTGGAAACACTTTTCTGAATATTTTTTAGTGCAAAAGACTTTTCAGTGTGAGTGTTGAGCTCTTGCTGGGGTTTTCAGTGTTTCTATATGTTTCCAGCTATATGTTCTGTGTTGTAGGGGAGAAGTGTGATGACTCAAGTGAGAGAGCAATGGACGATGATGACTCCAGTGATGAGGGTAAGATTGATTGTTCACAGCCATCATGTCAGTCACAAATAACAAATGAGAATAACATTTTAACACTTTTTTTTTTGGATGTCCACCTTCGGTGTATTAAATTAGATCAAAGTAACAATTGAATACCCAGTTGATGTGGGTTAAATATTTCAATATATGATATGCTTCAAAGTTTTGTCCGAGTTTTGACCCCAGCTACCATTACACTTGATGTTTAAACCATGTTAAAACCATCTAAGGGAAATCATACGATGTATATCTCCTTTAATGCCCTGGGACCAATCATGTCAAAGGTGATGTTCATCCTCGAGGTCATAACTTGAAATAAGAAGTTTAATATTAACTGAAGAAGCATTTCCTGTATATCACTGAAACATGATATCGAAAAAGGTTGTGAGTCTTAGGTCAAGGTCACGATTTTCAAAAGTAGGTCACTGTGACCTACTTTTACATTTTCCTGAGGAAAGGGCATTAACTGAGTATAAAAGTCCAGTTTACACCGTTTTCAAACTAGGCTGGAATTTCCTGGCTCCATTGTAGCACCACCAGTGATTATTTCTCGTTATGACTGTTCTATATCCCTCCTACTGTCCAGTCAGATTCTACCTCTCATATCACTTGCAATTGCTTCAATCAAAACGTCGGCACCCAGTCAAGATGATCTGATCGATAATCAAGATCTATATTGTAATGAAATGGGCCTTATCTCATGAAGTGCATCATTAAGCACCTTGATTAGAAGCACGACAAGGTTTTCAAAATATCGGTTGACGCCCAGTTGGCGTATACATGCTTTGTAAACAAAGTTGGACTTGCCCTGAAAACGAGAGAAGTGCTCATTTCTGGAGCAGAACTCCAAAACTGTTGAATATTTCTTGACGAAACTTGCTATACAGATCAGTCTTGTGGTCAACTGGTACCTTTTGATGACTTAGGATGTTTAAAAAAACTGAACAGCATTATGTTTTTCTTCACTGAACTGAACATATCCAATGTCAAAGAATCAAATTGGTTCTGGTATAAGTAGCCAACTCCATTTCTGAGTTGCACCACAATAGGGGAATATGTCATCTTTAGGTGACTCTTGTTAAAGATGGTACTTGTTCTTTCCTTGGCTGGCACTCAGCATTAAGTTAATAAAGCAAGGACTGGTCAGCTCAGTCAGTATACAGAGTCAGTGGGATATCCATGTCATATTGGTCTTGCAATATTAAACCAGATTAGTACAATTTGTTCGTTTATTTGTTGTTTAACGCCACACTTTTCAATATTCCAGCTTTATGACCAGTCTGTAAATAATCGTGTCTGACCAGACAATCCAGTGATTGACATCATGAGCATTGATCTACGCAATTGGGATCGATGACATGCATAAACCAAGTCAGCGAGCCTGACCACCAGCTCCTGTTAGTTGCTTCTTATGTAAAGCATAGTTGCCTTTTACGGCAAGCCTGGATTGCTGAAGACCTATTCTACCCCGGCTCTTTACGGGTTAGATTAGTACAAGCAGCCACACACACATACCATGTAGTATTTTACTGTGACAGGCATACACAGATTCCATGATGGAGTGTTTTTGGCACTGCTTGTGATGATTAACACTTTGTCTAAAACACTTTTTTCGTGTTTTTCATAGGATCTTACCAAAATGTTACAAGTGATTTGTGATTTAAAATGCTTGTTTCAAACTTGTCAGTACATTCACCAAGCCTTTAATGAAACTATTGTTATTGTGTTACATTTATACTAAAATATACTCTTATTTTGTCATTTCTCGAACCAATATGATGATGTCCTGTTTGCAGATTCCCAGTCTTTGATGGAAGAAAATAGACAGCTGAAGGAACAGAGGCAGTGCAAGATCTGCATGGATGAGGAAGTGAATGTTGTATTTCTACCATGTGGCCATCTTGTTTGCTGTGCGACCTGTGCACCTGCCCTGCGGAAGTGCCCCATTTGCAGAGCCAACATTCGTGGCACCGTTCGGACATTTATGTCATAATTGTACTGGGAAATGAAATGTATTTATTATAAAAGACAATCACATTAAAATCAGATCTTAGTTCTCGCTACTGCTAATCAAAGATCTGAGGACATCCCATTACAGGTCATGTCAGACCTACCTTTCGCCAACTTTGACCGACCAATGGAATGACTGACAAGAAGTCCACATTAGTCAATCAGAAGGCAGCTTTCTCGTGATTTATTGCACTAATTTCAAATTGGCGACGCCTTGAAATATATTTTGACATTCTTGATTAAAAATTTGAAACCAGAACAAAAGAACATTCTGGAATGGCTAATAAATAGATGGTCTAGATTGTATGGATTCAGTTGTTAAGCCTGTATGGATTCAGTCGTTAAGCCCATAACTATCATTTGGAATACGCTGTGTTAACCTTTTTACGAGGTTGCATGATTAGAAATCACAATCCAACTGTCACTGTCATGAACTGGTAAGTGACGCTCTGATTGGTCGGATGAAAGGTCGTTCTGAAGTGACCCCTAATGGCATGTCCTCAGATCTTTGTTTAGCAGGAGCGAGAACTAAGATATCATTTTAATGAGATTGTATAAATGAGAACTTCATTTGCTTTTGTTCTGCATAGTTTTGCTGTTCTGCATAGTTTAGCTGTTCTGCATTGTTTAGCTGTTCTGCATAGTTTAGCTGTTCTGCTTCTTGTCACTTGAGCGGAATATCTTGTGATATGATAGGTATCATGATCAACTCTAAAACCTCTTGCTTCAGACAGTCAGTTATTATTTTCATAATTTCTTTTTGACAATCTGCATACAACCTTTTTTCTGGCGGAGGAAGGGAAGGAGCTCATTATGCTATTGCTGACAGAGCCTTGTTGGATTATGAATTTTGGCAAATTTGTTTCTTCTCAGCCATCTAGTAATTTCTGTTGATTGAGTTTGTGTGTAACATTTCATCATTCTTTGGGAAAATGAGAAATACTTTCTTTGTTTCTGCTAATAAATCTTTGCTCACTTATGCTTTGCTTCAACTGTCACACCTATAACTTGCTTTTTATTTCCTTTTGAGATTTTTTCAATAAAAAGTATATTTTGTTAACATTATTACTTGTGTATTCACTGATATTCTATTATATTAAGACCATACTTATATTATTTCTATGTCAGACACCTACATCACTTCAGGCTTTCTTCCCACATTAAGCTGCCGTGATAGAACTGGAATACTGTTCACAGCGGTGTTAAACCCAACTCACTCACTCACTTTGTTTTGTCTAGGATTTCAGAGTTTTTCAGTAAAAATTGTACATGGAGACTACAATTTATATATCTCTATGAATGATGTCCATTATTGTTTGAGGGATAATTGAGACAGGTTATTCTCTGCTGTAGACGTTTTATGTTCACATGAACTGGGTGGTTGTTTTTGCTGGTGGACTGAAGTCCCTGACTTCCGTCATAAACTCAGTAGCATTTGTCAATTAATTATTCGAGTCGGCTGTAAAAGAAATATTTCAATCTGCCCCCACAGGGTTGCAAAATAAACATATTTCTAAAAGCTTTCAATCACTTATCAGAAGGAGAACCTCAGCACTCATACACAGCAGACGTAAATTCAAAATGAACATAACATCAATACGCTACATGTATCATGTCACTGGATTTTCTGTTCCTTCACGTGATTGTCTGATCACGACTCAAATGTTTACATGAGTGTACCAAGAAATAAGTGTGGTCTTACATTGTATTTCCAACTGTACCTGTTTTTTGCATGTTTGCTCTGTTGTTTAAAACCATGCTTGGCAAAGGGAGTTCTGACAAATGTCTCTCAATATGATGTGCAAATTCACCCCTTATGGCATGAATGTCCGAACACAGTGCGTTTTCATGGATGACCAGGGATTTCACAGGTGCGTGAATGATTTGTGAGAATATATTTTCGTAGTTTTTGAAAAAGAGAAATTCCACACACAACCTTTCATTTGGCATGAATTTGTTTATTCAGTCTGTGAATCAGTTCATCAAAATGCCATCCAGTTAGATGTTAGGACTCATGGAGTAATCATATATTGTGGCATATCGAAATTTGTTGCAGTAATGAACTTTGTAGCAATAAGATACAATCTACATAATAAGACCACAACAAGAGACAGTTCTCTAAGATGCTGTGTTTCGTTGTGTAGAGTAAGGTCTCTTAGGCGAAAGAAAACATCTTATGGTAAGTTCAAATCTTTGATGTTTCGAGGTTTCATCAAGAGTGTCACCAAAGTGGTAATCATCTAAGATTAAAGCAACTATAGATGAAATGCTACTGTTGCATGAAATCAGAAAATTCATGCCATGACAGATTGACAAGCGGTGTTAAACCAAACTCAGTTGAGGAGTTGCATTCAGTCATAAAATGGAATGACAAGTGACCCTTCCAAAACACATTTAGTTTCTCATAACAATAATATTAAATTGAATTGAATTACGGCTAAGGTTGTGCCAGTCTTTTAAATAGGTAACCAGTGTATTTATTAATTATGTTTTGTATTTATTGTGAATGTTACCACGACTATTGGTGGCACCAACAGAAACCTTGCATGTTATTTTATCCCTACATTGCTCATATATCATCAACTTTATTTATCATAGGTTGGCACCAGTGTCAAATCAACTATGATGCAGACTGCCAGTGCTTGATGAGGTGGGATAGATTTTGCCATAATCTAGAAAGACACAACCTATTGGTTGCAGTGGATGACCCTTGTGATCGAGACAAAGGTCTTTGTCTGTGAAATCACTGTTAATCTGTAAATAAGGAACACATCAGACGAATCACTAAACGTCAGCAAGGGTCATTATCTTCATTGATATGGATGATCGTGGGCAAGGGGATGAAGAAAACATCAGTTGAATTGTAGAAACAGAAAACATAGTTGGCGTCCAAACAACATAAAATCTTCTTCCATGCTTGAGCTTTTGGAGAGGTGAATATCCTACCAAGGATTGAACCTGCAGTTGTTTCCAAAACCAGTTTACATTAAAACAGAAACATAAGGATATGAAGATGTACAAAGGAGGGAAAACTAAAAGGTCACCGAAGACATCACAGTGAAAAGAAAGACTCCATGAGGGTAGGTGTGGACATAAACAAAATTGTTTTGTCTTCAAGACATCCAACTTGAGTCAGGATCATCAATAATCTGATGGCATTTAAACAACCTTTAAGCAAATTTCAGAATACTTCAAGAAACCATACATGATATGAGAAAGGCTTAGCCTGATATCCTAATTTACTGAAATTCCAATGACATACTCATAACCCACACTGTTTCAAATGTCAACAAAGAAGAAACTGAACACGAAGGTCTAGAAAAGCGTATTAAAACCCAAACCAAAGCAAATCAAGTTGAAATGTCTGTCAACAAAGCTGTGAGTAGACATTTATTGATGTGTCTTAACTCCTCCCAAACTTTGAGTAATGACTTACCAGTGGCTGAAACGTATGACTGGCAAAAAGTGGGTCTTGTTAAAGTTTTTCTGGCAGGATCTCATCAATGTAGATGGGTACTCCCTATAACCAGACTTTACAAGAAGCTCTGTCAGTCACCTACATCCGTGACCACTGATTTCGGGTTATCATAGATCACAATACACTTGGAGAATAATGTAGAAACTTAGAAAGCTCCATTGGTGACTGAAGTTTGCAGCCAAACAAACCAAAGGATAAGCGTTAAAATACAAGGCATTATATATCACAGGATAGCTTCTACTACAACAGAAGAAAGTTGAACACAATGAATGTTTCTTTACCCTGTTATGTCTCTAAAGCAGTAACATGGAGAAAAAGTAGAAGAATCAACAATTTTTGATGAGGCCCTGCTTACTGTTATTCATACACACCTGGTTTAAGATAAAGAGTCTAATGGATCCCAGTATACTTTACCTTCATATCTGTGGAAGGTCAACCTGAGAATCAACATTGAGGTCTGGACGTGGAATGAGCAGGTGGCGTGATCAATGTGTGGTTCAATTATAATTGAGAGGGATAAAAAGGCATGCTTCACTGTATTTCTTGTCAAATAGCCTGTTACAACTTTTCTGAACCACTATTATCTGCCTGATTGAATGTGGCAACAATGGGGCGCTTCATGAATCTACAAAAATGAAGATGAAAACACTTGAAGTCCTGATGATGAGTTAGTGAACTCCACATCTTCTGCATCTACACAGAGTGTTTGACACCCTGCTGTCATTCAAACAGACAGTGAATGACCCATTCAAGAAAACCCTTGAAAATACCTAGCCCGTTCTGATATCTGCACGAAGTGCGCTCGGATGCACACAGTTGAATCAAGAAAGTTTTGAACATTTTGAGGTATTGCACATCAGTCACATCTACCATTTGAACTCAAAACCTGTGCTTATTATTTCTACACTCAAAACACTTCTCAAGACACATCTCTTCTACCAAGACTGTCTCAGCATATGGAGATTAGCACATTGTAAATGAACAACTATTATTATTACATGTGTATTGTTGTCATCATCATGATTATTGTTATTATCTAATATTTCACATCCTTGAGATTGATGAGAACTAGGCTGCCACAACTTGTTGTCTTTGACGTTGTTGGAAATCAGGCAAGACTTACTGGTCAAGCATCCAAATGCCAGATTGCACAGATCCATCATAATCATGCTGTATCAAACGATCTCTCAACCAGCTTTTGTGGACACGGTCTTTGTGAAGAATGTTGATGGAGAATTAAGGCTGACCATACATTCTACCCAATGCCCTATATCATTAATGCCAGGAAAGGTAATATAGCCACTGTGTTAGCTTGCCTTGTTGTTTCTGGAACATTGGACCTCTTGGTGAAGAGAAGAATATCATGTAGAATTTTAATAGTACTATATGAAAAGGAAGTAAGAACCAAGCTTTTGGTCTGACAACATCTTTGTGAAGAAATGAATCCTCTAGAGTCATTATGAGAGGCAACTACAGCAGTAATGAGTGTTTTGAAGCTAATGGCTTGGTATTGCAGTTGACTAATATCCTCAGGTGCATACCATTCCACTCTTTGCATAACTTCTCTGTTGATATACATGCTCTCACATAACATCAGTTGCATCACCGTTATCTTATTCTGCTCTCCGGCATATCATCTGCATGTGCTAAGTGCTTCAGAGTGGCAACATTGATCCTGAAAACTATTTCAACTTTGAGAGGTGTAGTGGCCTTTCAGTATCTCATCGGGTGTTAACTTTCATTCAACAAACAGACCCAGAGTATGACTTGCTCCTTGGCATAGAAATGCATAGGCCAAACAGTAGACCGTGCTTATTTTAGTGTATTAGCCTGCAGCTTTGCAGCCAGGGAACAGCTTCCTGTATGCTATGGATGTACCAAATTGGATTTATGAAGCCTGTATTGATGTATGAAATATTGTTGTTATGGGAAACTTCATAGGAAAGCTGAAGGTCCTAAATGCAATTTACATCATGATGCCATTACTACAACATTTACCGTCAGTTTTCAACACTTTTTCAACAGTTTTCCATCAGAGAGATGTCAGCGCCCTTCATGGACTTTATGCTCTGGTGATGGAGGACCAATGACACTGATACATCATGGGATAAAGCTAAAGACATGTGTGCTATCGCTGATTATACTTGTGATGTGTCCAAAGTGATGTGGCTAATCACTCTCCAGATAGTAAAGTTGACGTGTTTCAACAGGTCCCACAAGTTTTTGTTACGTCGTTTACGGGATGCTACACTAGAGACTCTCACACAGAAACAAATTCAGAGACGTCTAAAACCGTTCTGAGGAGAGTGTGTCAAGGCCTCCTTTCAGACCATGCTTTAGTCATGAAATAGATTGGAAAATGAAGGGAACTTAGAGGGAAGGATCCCCAAATCATTCAGAGAGCATAAGTCCAGTAAAGATGTGTTCAGAAGGGAAATGAGTCCAGCTGCAAATGACTTATTGGCTCACTGGTTTGCAAACTTTGACAAATCTTCTGAAAGCCTTCTGGTCTTTGATAAATGTAAAAACATTCCACCGAAACAGAATCCATTGGTCTCAAAAAGCAAAATAGTGATGAAAAATATATGAATGGATCTCTGAAAAGCAATAATGGCGCCAGATGTTCGCGAAAAGTATAAACAAGATATGTAAGTGCTCAGCCCATTAGAAGTAGGTGGAACAACCTACAGTGGACCTGATGTCAAGGAAAAGGTTTGATGAAGGAAACAGATTGAAAATGAAGGAACAGATCAAGGAAATAAGGATGCTGTGCTGTAATTTAACCTTTTTTGTGTATGATTACCTGAAATATGTCGGAAAGACTTTGATGTATCATCTCTGTTGCCTGTTCAACACAGTCAGAGAGACTGGTTTCATTCTGCAGGAATGGAAACACAGTGTTATGATGCCTATTCATAAAATAGGCCTAAAATCTGGAAAGGATTTGAACAGATACAGGGAAATGTCTTTGAGCCCTGTAGTAGAGAAAATGTTTGAAAGGGTACTACTGCCGCATCTGACATCACTGAGGCAATGAAAGAATGTTCCTCATGTGGAATAGATGGCATACCAAAAAGACTTCCACACACGCTTCATACAAGAAGCAAGAAACTGTACACCACCACAGATTAAACGGGATTGCGTAGTCCATGTACTTTTCCGAATGGTGTGCTATCAGCACGTCAATATATACTTTAAAGAAACCAGCTGTTTGACAAAATGATCAACGACAGAGGACGGTCTATGATCATGGACTTAAATACTGGAAGTCCAACCCAAGCTGATGCTGTCGCTTTGGTCAGCTCAAGTTCGGCAAACCTACACTTCTGAAAATCGCAGAAGATGACAGCAAACAGTGATGTTTCACACTCTTTACCGCTAAAAGTCAGAACATGACCTTGACCTTCAGAAGCAGAAAAAGACATCTACACACGTACCAGCTGAGATGATGCTCCACTGAAATCTTATACCTTCAGGCAAGTCAGTCAAGCATGTTGGGGTTATATTGACTGATGACTTCAACTCTATGGAGATGACTCTGGAGGCAAGGAATAAGCTAAAACGATGAAGTCTTTTGTGTTTCCCATGCCGCTTCAAGAGAGATAGTAATAGACAATAAAAGCTGCTGTTAGAATGTTGTTAGGATTGGAAAGAACGAAGAAATCTTTTGCTTTTCATTATTGCACAAAGAGCTTGTTCACCCAGCATGAACGTAAGCTCAGGCAAGTCCCCTGTGCTGACCCTCTGCGAGGTTTCTCATCTGTATCTGTAGCTCCATGGAGATCTTAACGACGTTTTGAGTGGAGGGGTAGCCAAGTGGTTAAAGAGTTCGCCCATCACTCGGTTATAGTGGGATCAGCTTAACGCCGCTTTAAGCAATAACACGGTGGGGGACACAGGAGAGCCCTGCAGGCATACGGGGATTGATAAACATAGAGTACCGCTGAAGTGAAATGTGCAAAGATGTACAATCACATAATCGGATCAAGATCATTTATACAGGTAGTATGACGTGTTTGACATTTTATCACGAACATCACTCCATATTTGTTGTCGATTTGTACATACTTCAAACCTGGGGTGACCTACGTCCATTGTTTTATGACCTCCAATCTATGTGCATCGTTCACAAAGGTTCTTTTGGTGATCAGAGGGAGGTACATATACTTACGATTATTTACCTCTACCTCCGCTGAAATAGTTCTTTACAAATTTTGTAATTACCTATTTCGTAATTTGGCGGTCGGCAATGTAAGACCTCGACCTTTCCTCAATCCCAAGAATGACCGACCGCCTCCGTATTCTAGTGCTAGAGCGTTCGCCCGGAGAGCGGAAGGTCCGGGGTTTGATCCCCGGCCGCGTCATACCAAAAGACGTTACAAGATGGTACTTCTTGCTACCCTGTCCGGCGCTCGGCATTAAGAGGATAAAACAAGGACTGGTCAGCTCGGAGTCAGTATACTGTGTCTGAGTGGGGTATTCATGTTAAACTGCGGCATGCTATCTCAGTGAGCAAGCACTATAAATCGGCATCAGTCCGGAGTAGTACAAGCGTACACACACACGCGTACATGCACGTCTCTATATAAGTGCAATAATAAAAAAAACCAAGCATGATCTCAGTGTCATGTTTCATACCGATCTGCTCCTAAAATCATTTTTCCAACGAAAATATTTCGGCTTCTAGTTGAAATTAAAGAAATATGTTTTCGCAGCTACAGCTGAAAACATTTATAGTCTCCATGCAAAAGGCTACTGGCCTGGTTAATAGTAAACCCGGGAT